TGGGGGGGGTGGGGTTTCAGGACAAGGTTTCTCTGTGTAGCTTTGTAGACCAGACGGACCTCCCACTCACAGAAATCTGCCTGCCTCTGCCTTCCGAGTGCTGGGATTAGAGGTGTGCACCACCACCGCCTGGCTGAACTCAAATCTTGACCTTATGCAAAGAAGGCATTTTTGGGGGAGTCCGTTTTGATCACTGCTGTATCCCTAGCACTCAGAATAGCACATAGGATAGAATAGGTGCTCAATACAGAGTTGTGGAAGAGCAGCAAGAACCTACCAGGCTGAACCAGAGCCATGAAATGCCACCTGTTCACCACGAGGGCTCGCTTGCCTTTCACCAACCAAACCTGTGACTGTGACATTTACCTATAAGGACAGACCAGAGGCAGTGGATGCAAGCTAAGGATGCCCTCCCTAGAATATCGTATATTTGTATTTCTTTGATGTGTGTATATATGTATGTGCAGGTATGTGTACACATGTGCATGCATGGGGGCTAGAGGCAGACATCAAGTGTCTTCCTTTATCATTCCCCCTTGTATGTTTTGGGTCAGGTTCTCTCATTGAACCTGGAGCTCACTGATTGGCTAGACTGGCTGGCCAGTGATCTCCAGAGAGCTAGGATGCCTTTCTAAATCCCTCACTCTCAAACCTATCAGTGCTGGGATCACAGAGTCAGTCTGCCAAGTCGCCCAGCTTTTATGTGGATGCTGGGAATCTGAATTCTGCTCCTCATGCTTGTTTATTGGAGGGGTTGCCCTTTTTATTTTCTTGTTATTACTGTATACCTAGTGCTCACAACAATGCCTGGCATAGAGTAGGCGCTCCATAAAGTTGTGCTAGCAAGCACTTTACCCACTGAGCCATGCCCAACCCCCTCATTTCACTTCTTTTGCCATTCCCCAGCTCATGACTTTTTTACTGGGGCAGTATTCCAAATTTTACTGATCTTTGTTCATTAAAAATATTAATCTGTTTATTTATGCCACTTCTCTCTTGTCATCTTTTTTCTTTTTTCCTTTGCTGTCTGATACAGGGTCTCACCATGTGGCCCTAAATTGACCAGGAAGTCAATATGTAGACCCAGCAAGCCTTCAGATTTGTGGTGACCCACCTTCCTCTGCCTCCTAAGTGATAGGATCACATGAGGCAGCAAGCCTGGTTATAATTCACACTGTGAGGCCCCCTCCCCACGCTGAAGACTAAACACAAGGGCCTTAATGCATGCCAGCCAAGCTCTCTACCTGTGAGCTATCTCCGCAGCCTGAACTTTTAAAATCTGTAGTTAAACCTATCAGCTATCTTCCCTATGATGTTTGACTTTTTAAGCATATTTTCTGCGCTGCTGAGGATCCAGCTTGGGGCCTTGCACATGCTCAGTATGTGCTCTCCTGAGCCCTGAGCCTCAGCCCTAGGTCACTGTGTGAAAAGGCACTCCTGCATCAGCCACAGCAACTTCATGCTATTTCCAGTCAACCCTGCAAGCTCTAGGGGCTGCAAGCTCTAGGGGCAGGCATAGTAACCCAGGAAAGGAGCCTTCATGAAGAAGCATTAGAGAGGTCACATATCCTGAGTCCCTCTCCTCAATATAAAGGGGCTTCACTTACTATCCTAGTGCCCAGGCAAGGCTGGTCATGAAAGCTAGGTCTATGAAGTACTGTTTCTATTGTTGCTGTTGTTATTGTTGTTGTTGATGGTGGTGGTGGTGGTGGTGTGTGTGTGTTGTGTAGTTCAGAGGATAACTTTTAGGAACCAGTATTCCTCCTACCTTGTTCTGAAGCAGGATCTCTCTTGCCTTTTTGCCCATCCCACATGCCAGGATAGTGAGTTGGGAGTTTCTAGGCAATTTTCTGGTCTCCATCTCCCACCCTGCCTCAGCAGTGTTAAGATTACAGCTGCATGACACCTCACCTGGCTTTTTCTATGGATTATAAGAATCCGACTCTGGATGTCAGGTTTAGGCAGCTCACTGGCCCAAGAGACCATTTTAAGCCCAACATCCACCACAGTCTAGTAATTTAGTAATTTGCCCAAATGGCATATCAGAGTCACAAGACCCTCTCAGCCCATCATCCCTCTTGAAGACCTAGCACAGCCTCTTCAGCTGCTGTGATTTCAGATATGGACCCTTCCGGAAGAGACAGATAGGCTTCTTAGCTTTCCAGATTGCTGGAAGAGCAGATAAGAGGGAGTGAGTCTCAGTTCACCCCTTTCCCTGGCAAAACCACCTGAAGCCTGCTGAAGCTGTGACTTGTCTGTTGCTGGTCCCATTGCCTACTCACATCCCTCTCCTTCCTCAAACCTCCAATACTGCCCCAAGCAATGAACATTCTGGGACTCCCAAGGACATCTGCTGGCTGCTCCTGGCTTGCGGAGGACAAGTTTACTTGCATGGATGGACAAGATGTTAGGACTAGCAGTTTTTAAGCCTGCCTAGGGCCCAAGTCCTAAGGGGTAGCTGAAGGAACTCTGCTTGGAAACTGGCAGACTTTGCTCTTAACACCAGCCTGTGGGCTGTGGTCTGTGAGGCTGTAGTCTGCTGATTTCTGTATCTTAACAGCATTGTATGGGTGGGTGAGAGTGGGACCTGAGAGACTGTGATAAGCATGCAGTTCTGCTCTCATGGAAAAGGATTCTCTGCACAGGGTCAGCATCTTCACCCCATTTCCGTCCTCACAATAATATCTATAGCTCTCTATATATGTATTTTTTTCCTATTCCTCCACAAATTCTTCAGTGTGACTGGGGACAGAGATAGGCAGAGCACAATGGTCCTGATGCAAGGACACCACGAGGAAGGAAAAAGGCAAAGTGAAATTTGGCAGCCCTGGCTCATCACATGTCTGCCCTCTACAGGCGATACCTTGGGCCCAGCCTTCCAGGGCCTAGGGCCAGCTTGTCCATTGGTTATATGCCTGCAGACCTCACCAGGAGATGCCTGCCTAGCAGGTGGCCTCAAGCACACAAACAGTACTTCTGCAAGCTGTATTTCCTGGAAGACTGTCTTGAGAGGGGGGCATGGAGGAGATAGGAAAGGAAGACACCCAATCCCTGGAGCTGGCAGAGGCCTGGTGGCCTCCAGGGCTGCCAAGGAGTCATGGAAGCCTTAGACAACTGTTGTGGGAAGGGGCCTTTACTTCTGTGGCCCCAGAGTGCCCATGGCAGGCTAGTGTTCTCACATCAGCAAGGATGTCCATCTGGCCTTACAAAGGACATCACTCGGCTCTCTTAGCCTAACTTCATGGAGCCTTAGACATGCCAAGCCCAGGAAAAGCTAAATCACATATCATTCTAAACATTCCCACTGGTGTGCAGGGAAACAGGCTCTGAGTGGGAGCATCTCAGAAGAGACAAAAGTGCTATGATCTAGGTCTCTTGGCTTGCCAGCTGCTGTCACTCCTATATCAGGAACACAGGAAAGCAAAACTGCTGGGTGATGGCAGGTTGTAGCAGGGTAGAGAGCAGCGGAAGCACTGATGGACCTAGGGGAGGCAGGAACTGTGAATACTCCCCCTTCTCCATCTAGAGGAGCGCCCCTCCCCTCCCCTCCCCTCTACCCACCCTGGCCATGCAGGAGGGCCTAACTCTCATCAACACCTCTACAGATGGTGAAGGGCCCTGCTGGCTCCTGTGGGGGTGGGGAGCCGGTTCATAGGCAGAGGAGGAGTCTCTGCCGAGCTGGCACGTCTAGGGCTGGGAAGCCCTGTTCTCACCTCCTAATGAGACAACTTGTTATGCAGGGACCACAGCCTGCAGCGAGTGAGGGATGGGCAGGGATGCAGCAAGTGAGGGATGTGGCAGGGATGTGGGTTTGGAGTCTTCAGGAAAGAGCTGTCCAGGCATAGAGAATACTAGGACAAGGGCTGAGGGGCTCTGGGGATGAATAAGGGAGCTGTGGCTCCTGCTGTGGTCACCCCTGCAGTACCATGGCCCTGAGAATCTAGTTAAATGGCATTCATTAATGTTCCCAGTGCTAAGCCACACTGTTTCCTTTTCCCATGCTAGCAGGCAGGAAAGCGGAGCTCAGTGGTGGTTCCTGTCTGATCCCATCCCTCATTGTCCCATAGGATGAATATGAGATGACACAGGTGGCCTGAGGTGAAGGCATAGGAAAGAAGAAAGGTGCCAGCTGCTAGGACCTAAGGAGCAGGTGGCATTGAGGAGTTAGAGACAGAGGCACCTGCAGAAGCTTGTGGAGAGACTGTGATTACAGCTAAGGTGGGCTGACCACTGCTGCAACAGGAGACACACCAAAGGCTAAGGAAGAAACAAGAGAGACCCCGAACGGTAGCGTATGAGACAGAGGTAGGGAGAAACTGGCTTCGAAGGCTATTGTTCTGTAGTTCAGGAAGCAGGGAAGTGTTACAGAGAAGGAAAGGTATTGGGAGGAATCGACAGTCAGGCCTAGCAGGCCACAGCCCACAGGCTGTATGCAGCCTCCTGCAGCCAAGACTCTGTGAGCACAGTTCAGCACAAAATCATACTTACTCAAAACATACAACTTGTATTTTTCAGCTTTATTATTTGTATTTTATCTATTGTTATTGTGTATGTGTGCATGTGTGAGTACGGTGTATGCATGTCATAGCTCGCATGTTGAGAGGAGGAGAAAGCTATTTTAGGAGTCAGTTTTCTCTTTCCACCATGGGTTTCTGGAATCCACCTCAGGTCATCAGGCTTACACAGCAAAGGGTGAGCCAGTTCACTGACCCTTTTGTTGTTTTGCCAGGCTGGCCTCACGCTGGAGCTGAAGATGACTTTGAACTTCTGATCCTTCTGGTCCTCCTGCCTCTACCTCTTGAGGGCCGGAATTATAAGTGTATACCACCATCAGCAGTTTTTATGAAATTTCTTCCTGATTTTTGTTTTGTAATTAAATACAAATCCCTAGCCAAAATTACAATGTCAAAAGCTCCCAAGTGCTTGGTAGAGGTTATGGGTAATGGAAGAGAGAAGTTTTGTATCAGAATAGTCCACTCAGCCCTGGCTCTCCCCCACAGGTTTCTGAAGAACCAGTGGACCTCCAGGATACCTCCCAGGACCCAAATCCTGACACCAACTACCTGGCTCCCTATAATAAGGAGACTGTTGTGGTCACTCTGCATGGAGCTACCAATTTGCCTGCCAGCAAGGATGGCTCTGACCCATGGCCCTATGTGGTGGTGTAAGTAGCTGCAGAAACCAGTGTAGGGGTGGGGTTGGGTCTGTGAGCAGAAACCATCTGATGAATATTTGGAAACTGAACTCCTGAAGGGACTGTGGTACCCGGAGATGTCATACTAAGGCTGGACAAATGAGAGGCCCTCCCTGTCCCTTGCTGTGTGGTAATTGCTGCCAGGGCTGAGCAGGGCCTGACCTCACCAGGGCAAGGCCCTTGTCTACAGTGCCTATGCTGGGCTCAGTGCGGGGTGGGCATGGTCAGGGCAAATGTCATAAGCACAGATCTGAGTTCCAGGGCATCTGTCTTTCGGGGGGAAAAATTGATCTAGGGGGGACATGTGCTTAGAAATAGAAACAGCACTCCTAAGAATGAGAATGAGCTAGTGAGCTGGAAAGGCAAACATGGAAAAACTCAGCAGGTCATCACCTTTTACTGGACATTTACATCCCACCTTATATAGAATGGGCTTTTTATTTTTCCTGGAATGCTGTTACACGAAGCCTGGGTGGGGAATGGCTTCTAGTCTTTCTCTGCCAACTGCTCTTTGGCTACTTTAATCTTTCTGCATCTTTCTGAATTCCTTCCTTGCTCTCCTGTCACAGAACGACTTGGAGTCTGCTTCTCCTGGTCTTGGGGGATGCAAGAGCCTTTGCTGCGTGTAGCCACCCTCTGGGGGCCCTCACCTCTCCTGGTCGTTTCTGTAATGGGTTCTAGTCCTTTAGTGCATCTCTCTCTCTCTCTCTCTCTCTCTCTCTCTCTCTCTCTCTCTCTCTCTCTCTCTCTCTCACTCTCTCCATGGTGGCCAGGGCCTGCCATGCCATGTTCGCTGTCTGCTGCCCCTCAAAAAGCATATGAAGCAAAACCACAGCCAGCCAGCTTTCCCTGTGGAGGGAAATTAGCACTGTGCAAGAATGGGGACTTTTTGGCTTCTGTGACCTCCTACAGTTCTACCTGACACCTCCCTGCCTGCACCAGGCACTTCCCACCCACCGCTCAGTCCCTTTGGAGAATGCCTGCCCCAGCCCTCATGTGCACACCCACTAAATCTTCACCTTCATTGCATTCCTCCTGCCTCCTCCTCCAGGCAGCCAGATCTACCAGAGTAGATCCCCTAGCAACAGCAACACATGTGTTTCTTATCTGTCCCCAGAACTGAGGCTTCTTGAAGATCCTGGGTCTCATTCTCCATTTCTCCAACATGGTCACAGACTAATAATGGTCTAAGGATGCAAAGCTTGGCTAAGACGACAAGTAGCCTTTCTCACGCCCCCTTTCCCGCAAGGCATAGAGATTGAAGAACAACAGGTGGGGCTCTTGCCTGGTTTGCCCAGGAAAACCCCACCAGCCTCAACCCAGCTTCTTGCCCTACCCCCCCCCCCCAGCCCCATTTCTTAACCAGGGAAGGACAGGTGGCAGAAAGCTGCCTTGGCGGGAGCCTGGTTTCTACTGGGAATGTCCCTCAGCTTCTCAGCTATTTCCATAAACCAATTATCACTGATCATCTCAGGAGATTGAGGCCCTGCTTGTCACCAATCCAGCCTGGGCTGAGGAGGGGAGGGGAGCTGGATGGCTGCCTTGCTCCAAGACCCCTGCACTATCACCCTGTTGCCATAGGAACAGGCAAGGGAGGGGAGTCTAGGGCATGTGAGCCTGGATGGGAGTGTAAAGAGCTGAGAACACCCTAGTTCCTCTGACCCTACGGCACCACCGCATGTAGGATAGAAAGTGGGAGGTGTACATCCCTACTCCCCTTTTCATGATGGGAGCAGGGCCTGTGCCAGGCTACAGCCTGGTCCCAGAGCTCCAAGCTGAGCTGCCAGCAGCTCCAAGTGGTGCTAATGAGATGCAAATGAAAAGGAGAAGGGAGGGCTTCTGGGAATGAAGGCCCAGCTGCCAGGACCCAGAGATGGCTTCCAGTGCTAACCCCCAGCCCCAGGTAGGAATCCCAGAGGGGGGGACCAAGAACTCAAAGGCCCCAGAGCTGAGTCCTAGACCCTAGAACAAATTTGCTGTCTTCCTCGATCTGATTACAACAGAGAACAGCAAAATATGCAATAAGAAAGTCCACTGAAGTCTTTTCTCATATGGGTATTTCAATGTGTGTGTTTTAATTATAAACATTTGAATGTAAATCTGAAACTGTTAAGATCTAGAAGTAAACAGTTTTCCCTAGGATCCTTACATTGGTCTTGGCAATGCTTTTTTTTTTTTTTTTTTAATTTGACATCGAAAGTATAAGCAACGAAAACAAAATAAACAAATGGGTGACAAGAAGCTGAAAAACCCTGTGCAGCAAAGGAAAACTACCACAGACTTGAAGAAGCAGAATGACCTAACATACGTGCAAACCACACATCCAATGAAGAGTCAATGCCCAGAGAATATGGAGAACCTACACTCCCCAGTACCAGAAAGTCAATTTGATTTTAAAAGGGCCCTGCTATGATAGCACACACCTTTGATCCCAGCTACAGGAAGGCAAAGGCAGGCAGATCTCTGGGAGTTTAGTCCAGCCTGATCTACAAAGTGAGTTCCAGGACAGCCAGGGATACACAGTGAGACCCTTTCTCAAAACAAAGAAATAGAAACAGGCAAAGAGGGCTGGAAGTATAGCTCTGTGGTAGAGTGCTAGCCTAACATACACCAAGCAGCATAAACCTAGCATGATGGTGCACGCCTGTAACGTTAGCACTTGGTCACTCAGGAAGAGCAGACATTCAAGTTCATCATCTTGAATACATAGTGAATTCAAGGCTAGCCCACGATGCATGAAATCGTCTCAAAAAAAAAAAAAAAAAGTACAATTGGGTGTCAGGTGTAGGAGAAGGTGCTCAGTGCTACTAGTCACCATAGATAGATAGCCACTAATCACCAAAGATATCCAAATCAAAATTTGAAGATCATCCCACTCATCTCTGTTAAGCTGGCTATTATCAGAAAGACAAGAAGTAGCCTGATGAAAGTGTTTGTCACCAAGACTGACAACCTGAGTTCAATCCTGGATCCCACATATATGGGAGAGAACAGATTCTCACAAGTTGTTCACTGACTACACAAACTCCACGGCATGTGTACCACTCCACCCCATGAACACCCAGGTAAACAAGATTAATTAACTAATTAAATTTAATAAAAATTACAAATATTGGTGAGGATGTGGAAAGAAGGAAATCTCTCTACACTATGGCTAGAAATGCATATTTATACATTGTGGAAACTCCTCAAACATTAAAAATAGGATTAGTATAGATCTATCAATCCTACATCTGTATACATATCCAAAGGAAAGAAGTCAGTGTCATGAAGTGATAACTGCATCCCTATTTTGTTATAGCATCATCATATAAAGATATGGAATGAACTTAAACATCTAACCATCACTGAATGAGTAGATAACACACATACATATACATGTCATATGTAACTTTCTATAACATGGAAGATATAATGCTAAGTAAAATAAGCCAGGCATAGAAAGACAAACACCACATTATTTCATTCAATGTAGAATAACATTGAACTCACAAAACAGTGCCAGGGTCTAGGAATGGAGAAAATAGGGAGATGTCAGTCAGAGTCCAAACATACATTTATAAGGTGAATTTGGGAATCTACTATACACTATGACAACTATAATTAATATTATATTGTAGACTTTAAATTCAGCAAGTCTTAAGCATTCCCACCACATACATACAAAAGGATAACTGTGAAGGATGGATGTGTTAGCTCGATTACATGGTATCATTCATAGAAGGTAAGTATGTCAAATCCTGGTATACACTTCTAATATATATTATTGTTACTCTTCAGTTATACCTCAATAAGGCCAGAAAACACACATATACATGCATACATAACATCTTACTCCAAGTACTTTTACCATGTTTTCTGGTGTCCTGAGTCTAGTCACCCATCTTGGCTTACTGCATGCACTCTGCCTGTCCATATAGGCCCACCTCAGATCAGGGTAGGGATCCTGGTGTCCTTGTCTCAAACTCCTTCTGTCCTCTTTGGCTTTATTGCTTTCCCAGCAAGCAGATTTATAGTTGAGGTGGTAGGCTGGGACATGAACCCCCAAACTACTCATCTATATCATTAGAGGGAGCTGCAAAGGGTTCAGGCCACTTCACCCCTCTGTAGACTGTAGCCCCAGCCAGTCCAGCTGTCACAGCTGTCTAGCTCAACAGGCCCAATTGCTTGTTTTATGGTTCTGCCATTCTCTCTTTAAGCCACTTTTCCAATCCCACTCACTACCCCATGGCAACAATTCTCTCAAGTCCCTTGTGGGCACTGTACCTCAACTACATCCAAGGAGCATCTCGTCTGTGTGGTCTCCCAGTAGCACTAGACTGTGGTGACCACTCACTATCCTTAGATATCTTGGCTTCCAAGATACTCTACTCTCGCTTCCTCTCTGGCCTTGCTCCTCATGTGTCCCACATAGAATTAAATGTTGGCTTACCCTGGTTTCCTCCAAGGCCACACATTCCTAATATTCTCTATGCCATCTCATGCCCATCCTGGCATCAGGAATCACATCCTGCCCCATTCAACCTATGTCTAAGAGCACCACACACACACACACATACACACACACACACACACACACACACACACACTTGTCCCTTGTATTTGGCCATGTCTCTCTGCCACCTAGTAGGCCACTGTAGTTTTCCCACCTGCTAGGTACATCCAATCTTGCCCCTTTGCCAACTTCCTTCTAAGGAAGGTTTCCCTTTGCTTCTGTGGCATCAGAGTACCTAAGCAACCCCATGGCTTCTTGCTGCTCCCAGGATGAAGAGAACTCCAGGCCCACCATGGCTGAGTCTTCATTCACTGGCTCTTCCAGCTTCTCAGCAGCATGACCCCCCCCCCATCTATCTTTGTTCCAGCCATAATGGTCATCTCGGTCTTAAGGAAACACTGTCCCCTCCCACCCCGAGTCTTTGCACCCCTCATCCAACTTTACCTACTCTAAGAAGAGACCTCTGATCTCCCAA